ATACCCTGTTTCTGTGTTTGGTTGCATAATAAATAAATAAATAAATAAATAAAAACAATACCTATAATGGTAAAAATGCCAGGCCGATGAACAGTCGACTCCTAGTACCTACCAAGATTGCACATGGCTTGGGTGGATCCTGGCAAGGGCAAGATGAGCAATTGCCCAGGGCAGCTTTTTCTGAGGGGGTGCCGACTTATCAAACTGCCAGTGCCACCCCCCAGCAAGCTTCATCTCCGGTTCCCACAGGTATGCACCATCAGAGAACCGTATATATTCCCCAGGTGGCCCTCGACCTGATGCTTTTACATCCACCCTAGAGCAGTGCCAGGGTGCTTTTACTCTGCAGAGGGCACTGCTTCCTGTGCTTTCATACTACAAAACCCATACTGCTGCTAGAACACATAATTGGAGGGGGGGGGACTTACATTGTTGCTCCACTTGTCACTCATTTTATTTTTGTAAAATGGAGAGTCAGACAATCGTCCTGTGTGCATTTCGGCGCCCATGTTAACATCCAAATTGCCTGAGTGAGATTTGCGTCTCAGGCACAGTTCATGCCTCGCGGTAGCGACATGTTATCTAGAAAGTCGGAGTGCTCTCGTCTACAATGCACTATACAGGCTTTCATAATAAATTATAATGGTTAGTATAATGCATTATGAAGGTATTCATAGTGCATTCATAATGCATAATGACTAAAATATGTTATGCATTATTATAAATATTTACAGCCTCATAATGCATTTATATGACAGCAACGTGTTATCTAAATTTATAGGTAATTGAAATCAAACTTTCTGTTATTGAGGGCCATTATTAAAGGTAAACTCAATGCAGAAATATATGGTTTGCTGTAGCGGCGCCACAGCAGTTACAGAAACGCCAGACAGGAAGTGTGTCCCAGGCCTAACCCTAACACTAGATTTCATCCACTGGCAGGTTTAGGTATGTGCGACAAGATGGGGGAGTTACACAAAAAAAAACTTGGGAAGGTTCATCCGGGAAACCTGGAGAGAGACGGCTCCAATAAAACAAAACATTATGACCACCCTCAAGTAATGAAAATCACATCTCCTTTTCACGATCCCATAAAAATGGTGCATATCAAGGTCTGAGATATATTACATGAGTGCAGCAGACATGGGCAAGGGTAAAGACCTGAGTGACTTTGACAAGGGTCAAATCATTACAGCCAGATGCCTGGGTCAGAGCATTTCTCATACAGCAAGGCTTGTGTGGTGCTCACAGTCAGCCGTGGTGAGTAACCTACCGACAGCACATGGCACTGGTCCATGGCATGGGTGGATCCTGGCAAGGGCAAGATGGGCAATTGCCCAGGCCAGCATCTTTTGAGGGGGCTCCAGTGCCACCAATGGTATCACCCCCCTCCCCCAACAAGCTTCACCCACACTCCCCACCCCCATGTACACCGTTATCATTAATATATGCACCAAGGAAGACAGCAGGCCAGCCTGGGCCCTAGCTGACCACAGGGGGGGCTCACGGGCGAGAATGACTCACGATGTCGCTCCTTTGGTTGCTGAAGTCCTCATGCGGCATGCAAACGGGACAATCATGCTGTGTGCAGTTGTCCCAGTGCGAGATAAGCTTGCAGGAAGAAGTGCAGTGCTTCACTGCAGGGGCACAAAGAGGGGTTCAAACTGTTAGGTGAAGGAAACTGACCTGGCACTGGAGCAAAGGTAAACATGTGAGCCAGGGTAGTGCACCATTCAGAACTGAATTGATATATGCATATATATTTGGAATATATTTTGGCATATAATTCCTTGGTAAGACCCCACCTAGAATACTGAGCGCAAGTTTGGTCACCATACCTCAAGAAGGACATTGCTGCCTTGGAAAAGGTGCAACGAAGAGCTACGAGAATGATTCCTGGTCTTAGAGGAATGTCTTATGAGGAGAGGTTAGCGGAACTGNCTGTGTACTACCTGTATATGGTTGAAGTGACAACAAAGCCTACTTGACTTGACACACACATACAAGATTCTTGCCCTATTTTATCTCTGTCTCTCCTTCTTGTCTGGGTGTGTGTGTGACTTCCATCCTTTCTTCTCAGATGCAGATACTGGTGCGGCGATATCCAGACTGTATTCCTGTTGGGCTGCATATGTATTTTTCTCGTTGGTATTAATGTATTTAATTCCAGAAGCAGATACTGGCACAAGCTTATTCTCTGTCATAATGGTACCATTGGTTTCTTTGTATGTATACTTTTTATGCACCTGGATCTTGTTTTTCAGATACAGCAGCTGGTGTGATGATACAATGTCCAGTACTAAGATGCAGAAGCTGTCCTTTTGTTACTCTTTCATTTTGCTTTACTTTTTCTTAAGTTGTCATGTATTATTTTTCTTTCCCCATTTTTCTCTCTCTATCTGACCCCCCCCCTTTTTTTCTTCTTTCTTCTGTCTCTCTTCTCTTTCTCTCTTTTTCCCTCTCCTCTTTATCTCCCTCCTTCCTCTCCTTTCTATTTCAGTTAACTTTCCCTATTGGCTCCGGCTTAATGGCGCAATAATCTAAAATGGCAAATAAAGAGTATATCTCAAGTAAAAAGAGGAGCTTAATCCAAATTCGCAAAATAAAAGTGTGACACAATAAAGCACCCAGACTAACATCCTGCTTGCTAAACTGTCGGACACGACAGGGGTAAAAAAAAAAGAAAAAAAAAAAGAAAAAAAAAGAAGGAACTGTAAATGAACTGACCTTAATGAGTATTATAGTCAGGTACATTGCAATTCATTCCACTTGAAAAGTTACAGCTTAAGCTGAATCAGCGTAGGTGTGTGGCTCAATAGCCTAAATACTTGGGCTTGCAATCCAAAGGTTGTTGGTTCAAATCCAGCTTCAGCTAGATTTGTGTGTCTTTAGGGGCCCTTGAGTCATGAGAAGTAGTGAATTGCTATGTTCTCAGATTGCTTTTTGTAGTTTTGTGAACAACACCATTTATTAAACAAACAAATCTGTATTGGTAGAATGAAGAATTAAAAATGAAAATAAACTATTATTTAAAAAATATTCCTTGGAACAACAAACTGTGGAAAACTGTGAATTTACAATATTTTCCTTGAGACTTGAAGAGTCCGTTAACTTAATGGAAAATGTGCCGGTAATTTTCTGCAAGTACATTTTTTTTTTACAGTGCACTTAATCATTAATATATGCACCAAGGAAGACAGCAGGCCAGCCTGGGCCCTAGCTGACCACAATGGTGGCTCACGGGCAAGAATGACTCACGATGTTGCTCCTTTGGTTGCTGAAGTCCTCATGCGGCATGCAAACGGGACAGTCATGCTGTATGCAGTTTTCCCAGTGTGAGATAAGCTTGCAGGAAGAAGCGCAGTGCTTCACTGCAGGGGCACAAAGAGGGGTTCAAACTGTTAGGTGAAAGAAACTGATCTGGCACTGGAACGAAGGTAAACATCTGAGCCAGGGTAGTGCACTATTCAGAACTGAATTGACAACGGCCCTGAAACTCTAATTCAATTTGTGAATTTGAACTGCGGTTGAAAATAAGGTGCAGAACTGCAATTTGAAATTGTATTTAAGGAAGTAGAATTAAAGTGGAATTGAACTCAATGAAATTCAAATATATACTGTATAAGTGTGTGTGTGTATATACACTCACCTAAAGGATTATTAGGAACACCATACTAATACGGTGTTTGACC